CTAACAAGTAAAATAACTTAGTCAGTTAGTCATGATCCTGCATTAACAGAAAATTTGAGTGAGATTCACTGTGGGATGCTCAAGATGCATACTTTAAAGCAGTCTCCTTCTCATACGTAGTTAATATTTATACATATTCACCATTTAACTATGGTGGTGCAAGACAAAACAAAAGTAAGCACATAAATCTAAAAAAAAAATCTTGTCACTCTGTTACAAAAGATTTATCTTTTACCAAAATTTATAGCAAACCGAAATGATTTACGCCAAGAAAAAGAAAGCTGATAAAGATGATAGCTAAAAAATTGAAAATTGGGTGCATTCAATATTGTGAATACAATACATACCAATAAAGTCTATAACAATTGCCCATTTTTTGCCACCAAACAAAGTGACAAGCAACCTCAAAACCAATAGAAAGATAAACTTAGAAATCGAAAATCGGAACAAATGAGTTTGCTGTAAATTCACCTCGTGCTCGCGAATTAAGGTTTGACGATCCCAAAAGAAAAACGTTCCAGAAACGAAGACGATAAAGAGCAATGCCAGGCGCCTGGGTCGTTTCAGATAATACGTCGGATTCACATACCTCCATCGACTAGATGACGATCTACTGCGAGCCATTTTGATGATTATAAAGATATGTTGGTGATGTTTGATGGTTGGGATATATTAGGCGCGTAAAATGGATGTTTACATCAGGGAAAAACGGCAAAGGAGAGGGGAATGGAAGAATTTATTGAGCTACAAAGAGGATGAATGGCAGATTGGCAGGGCGGTATTTCTGTCCAAGGAGAGGGGAAATGAGAAGAATCTACTTGAGCCAGCAAAGCGATAAAACGGGAAAGGGTCGGATGACCGGAGACCAAAATATACAACACAAGTCAATACAGTGAGCCGGGTGCAAGAACAATAAAAAGGACACCTGGAGGATAATCACAATCTGGAGAGGGCTCTATCTCAGACACTTGCAGAAGTGCTATGCATTTTTTGGCATAGTAACCTCTCATCATAGTTGCCGGGATTCGAACCCGAGACCCAACCCTTGTGACACTCTCTTGCTACCGGTTGAGCTACGCCCACCGGTCGGGTACAAGAACAATGTGAAGCCATGAAGTCTTTTTTTTTTGTGATGCCGTGGAGTAGGGCTAGAGATGGCAATTGTGACCGATCCGATGGATACCCGCACCGAACCGTCCCGGTCAAAATGGGGAAAACCGCATTGACCGGGTAATGGGTACAGGGCGGGGAATACCCGTTTTGTTTTTACGGGTAACGGGGCGGTTACGGTTTTATGCATGCCCGCCCCATTACCCGTCCCGTACCCGCCCTGTTTATTTTTAGTTATATTTTTATTACATTCTTATCTATTATTTGTCCCACGACTAATAAAAGATGAGATTTTTAATGTTCATTGTGTACATATGGATAATAGATGTACTAACTATAGTGTAAGAATGAAAGTTGTCAATAGAACTTAATAGTTTTGTTTGATTATTATATGATTTTTCGTGATTAATTATTTTTCAGATTAAGTATTTTTAGGTTCAAATTAATTTAGGTTGTCTTCTTTCTCGTCTTATAGATATATGAAGCTGTAAAGTAGCGTATGAGTCCAGCGTCGTCTAGGTGATGTCATTTTTCGCATTTTAAAATATTATTTTTTATTAAAATATCAATGACTCATTTAATAATGTGATTACCCGCGGTTACCCGCGGTTATACCCGTTACCCGATGGGGCGGTTATGGTTTGGGTAAAAATTACCCGTTGGGTAATGGGGCGGTTATGGGGTGGGGGAATTACCAAACGGGGCGGGTACGGTTATATGTAAAAACGTCCCCGATCCGCCCCGTTGCCATCCCTAAGTAGGGCTGGACTCGGGCCGGTTCGGGCCCGGTTCGGGCCTGGGCCCGGCCGGGCCTCGGGCCAGGAAAGGGAGGCCCGAGCCCGAACCGCCGGTGGCCGGTTCCGGTCCCGGTTCCGGGCCAAACCGGGCCGGGCCGGGCCGAACCGGCCCAATAATTTTTTTTTGTTCTCCTATTTAATCCCCTACCCCTCCCCCTCAACCCCAAACCATCCCAAACCACCTCAAATGGCCCAAAATACCTAATCCAACCTAAAACTTAAAAAAATTTCCAAAAAAAAAATTAAAAATTAAAATCCGGCCCGGACCGGGCCCGAACCGGCCGTGCCGGTTCACCAAAACTGGGCCCGGGCCCGAACCGCCCAGCACCCGGGCCGGGCCGAACCGAACTGAGGGACCCACCGGGCCCAGGCCGGGCCGGGCCAAACAGTAACCGGGCCAGGCCGGTTCCGGGCCGGGCCGCCCGGCCCGAGTCCAGCACTACCGTGGAGTCTGATAGTTTGAATGTTTGATAGCGCTCAAATCAAATTAGTGGAACTAATTGGCAATTGGAATTCATAAAATTCTGATTAAAATGATTATGAGCCTGTTTGTTCTTTGGCATTTTCCACTTCAGCGTTTTCTTTGTTAAGAAAATCATGTTTTGCCCTGACATGCCACAATTCAAACGACCTCTATATCTGCTAATTCTGAAAAAGTACATTTAAAATATATTTTATTAATAAAAAAGAATGAATTATATAAAATAGTTAAAATGACATTCTACAATAGCTTCAGTCAATTTAGCCAAAATAGTACTCCATAATATTATACAATTTAGACGCGGAATAAAAATTGCATGTTTGGAAAAATTGAATAATAAGTCAAAAATATAAGTTATGTTTACAAAGAATGTAAGCTCGTATACCAAATCCATGTCTTTTTGGATCGTCCTCTCCCTCTTATCTCTGTCTCTTCTTTGATCTTCACCTCTCAATTCGTCTAATAGGTGCATCACTCGGTTTTCTACACATAGCAAAATCACCGCAATCAAGACGGTTGCATCTTATCTTCAATATGTGATACTCCTACCTTTTGACTAATTATGTCATTCATTTAAGTAGACTATTATAGTATGTCCATACATCCAATGCAATGTACTCATCGCAATCACATTCATCTTTTAAATGTAATGTTATTTCATTGCTCAATACTTTATGCCATACAATAAAACTTAAATTTCAATCTAGTCGGCATGTCTCGCTCACATACAAATCGTGACCCACTCTTCCACTTCATCCATTCCGTTGTGATTAATTAAACACATGTCAATCTAGTTCATTATATTATCGTTTAGAACTATGAGTCCATGCGACGAAAATATGGCTGTCTGTGATGTTCTTACCACTAGGTAATCTCAGTGGTGGAGCCAGAAATCTATTGTTGAAGGGGCCGGTCTTTAAAAAATTTACATTGTAGGGGTCAAAGTTTAAAATATCAACATATTTTCTATAGAATAAAAGTATTTATACATAATATATACTTAAGATTTTTTTTCTTGCAGGGGCCGTGGCCCCCTCCAGCCCCTCCCTGTCTCCACCCTGGGTAATCTGTTTGTTGCCATTGTTTTCACCTTATTCAAAAGTGTATTTAAAATACTCAGTGTCGCATCAACTCAACCTGTTCTCTAGAATTGGAGTTATATTTCCAACTTCACTTTAATTGTGATATGTCAATCCAATGAATTTCAAAATATTTTCGTGAGGAATATCAATAATTAGGCTATAAGAATTTGGTTAGTACATTTTAGCATTCTAAGATTTAAATAAGATGGCCCTCTTACACGAATAATGGGATCTATGATTTGAACAACAATCTTATAAATATTTTGTTGTTAATATTAAAGGTATCTGTGTTGAAAATTTATGAACCTAAAATACTTTTTACTTTACGTATTTAACAATTGATTAATTTATTATATGAAAAAACAGATTTAATGACGATTACATTGTTATTTGTTAAAGAATTTGAAGTTATTTGATTCAACCTCATATGTTTTTATCTCTACACAATGTTATACTATTTTGGTCCATTTAATTGTTTTCTATTTGAATAAGGCAGCGCATCTAGAGAGGCGTTTTTATTTCCTTAATTATTTATTTATTTCATTGCAACATTTTGATAATTTTTTCTACATAAATGTTTACTCATTTAATAAGGTTACTTTTCTTTTTTATATTTAAATCTTAAATTGATAATTTCCAATAATTCAGACTTCATATTGACAATATTCATATTTAGAGATTTGATGAACAATTAACCTATTTTTCATATTTTGAATTAACAAAGTTCCAAATTTTATTGGGAATAATGGAATATGTTACCCAATTACATGGGATCGTGTGGAATACAAACCCACCACTTATTCTCTTCCTGAATGAAACTCAAGTGGGTTCTCATTCCAAAGTTCCAATCTATATTCACATAAACCACCACTTATATTTGCAACACCCCGTGTACTAATGTTGGCTAATTCAAAGGCTAAGAATATGCGGAGTATCCACTCATTCAATACATGCATCAAAGACACGCCTCCTAAATGCCACGGTTGGTAAAAATTGTGTCACATCACATATTATTCAAAACATCAAATCTTCATTATGTTCCTTTAATAGGCACACACTCAATATACATGCATATACATACACATGAAGTATATAATTTGGATCAAACGATAAGTCATAATTGTGCAATACCATATACACACTCATGTTGCATCTTGAGATTCACTTAGATGCATCAACTGAGTCTAGAAAAAAAGTAACTTTTGGACTATTGACAAGGAAATTAATCAAATGTCATTTCCTTTGATCAGACCATCCATCAGACATAAGTGTGCACTCATATAATCAAGCATTCCAGCTCAGCTGGTTGTGAGGTTATTGTGCCTAGTGAGAGGTCTCGAGTTCGAAACTCGCTAGGCACATAAGAGTTTGAAACTCAATGGAGCAAGTTTCAGTCCTGGTTAGTCCAGACCCCCCAGCCCTCCTCCCCCAGACCCCCCTAGAGTATTAAAAAAATGTGCACTCATATTCCTTTTAAGCAGCCTTATGTTTCTCTCTAAGCTTCTATGTCTCTTTCTTTGCTTTTCCAAGGAGTGGTACACCATACACGCAACTCATGATCGCTGAGAGGTTTAAGTCTTGGTCCAAACTGTCCAATTGACTACACCAATAATCTCGTAGCTCCTCGAGTTGGCTGCATTGAAAGAAATGTCATTTTCATACAAATTAGCAATGTGCATAAAGACTCACTCTTTCTCCTCCTTGCTTTTTGTACATTGGTCTAGTGTACTTTGCCTGGGGCCATTGGCATGTCATGCATCAACAACCTCCTCAAGAGTTTAGCCAATGATGGAGGCAATTGACATGTTTTGTCTTTGGCATTTTTTGTGGTACATTAGACAACTGTGAAGCAGCATTTTTGTTTGTTTGGTAGCTATTCAATAACTTGGTTAAGAAGTTTAAGTTTTAAACAAATCTATTTGAGTCGATGTGGACCGGTTTACTTCATGATTCATCATTAAATATTCTTGCATCTCCCTCGTAAGTTCTGTTGTCGTATGAGGACATACAACAACAACTCCTATCTGTCTGCTAAATGTTGCTTCAATCCACTACTACAAAAAATACTTTTTGAGTCGCCTATAAACCCCCTTTACGCATCGCTTTAGAGGCGATGCAAAAGCCACCGATGCATAAAGTAACGCATCTATTGCATCGCCTTTTAGGCGATACAATAACTAACTTTACACCTCGCTTATTTTAATGAAGCGACTCTAAAAGTATTTTTTTTCACATTTACTATATGCATGGATTTTAAAGTATAGGCGACTCATAAAGTTTTTTTCCATAATTAGATAAAACTGATTTTTTTTTTGTTTAAAATGAAATGAAGTGGAAAGGAGCTACTGGTCAACTACTAATATACCTCCAAGCTCATCCTAATGTAAAATACTACAAAATTAAAGACTGTGTAAAGCTAAACCTTGCAAACAAACTGGAAATTCATGGTCATCACTCTAGTGTCAAATCATAAAGGTTTTACACATGTCATCACAATCAATCAAGTAATATATAAAACTTTAGAAATAAGCACAAACCATGTCTTACAATATTGTAATTATACTACGTACACACATTGATTAGTAAAGTACATATCTAGCCCAAGCATCTTTAATCTCATCTATTTGCTCTTGTGAATATGGTTCTCGAGGAAGAAGCTGCCTACAAAATAATGAACTTTGCATTAGAATTTTTGGAATACATGTAATACATGTAAGTTCAAATTAAAATGAACTTATGAATACACGTAATACCTTTTGTGTAGGTTTTATTTCTAGCAATCCAAGTGAGATATCTTTTTTTGCCCTGTAAAGTATCAATGCATTAGAAAGAAAAGGGCAACTGGCAAAAGTGCATACATATATTGAGAAAGTAAATACTCAATATACTTCATTGTGGGGAGACTCGAGAGTATATAACTTTCATTTCGAACAAAGTGATGCCTTATAATTTCATGCAAAAAATCCACTATGCCCCTAATGTCCATCTTCATCCCCAATGAGAGATCAAACTCTAGGCACTAGTAGAATACTGCTTCTAGTGACGCTGAAAAAGTATTGAGAATATGACGCTTAGTGATACTAAATTTGGTGTCACTGATCGTAAAACAATAGTGTTGATGAAGTTTCATGTTGCCATTCATTTGCTTCACTGGTAGCCTGCACTGTCTATGATGAAAACCGCTTGATCAGGAGAATCAGTGGACGAGAATAGCTTGATGAGGTAGAAGATTAGTGGCCGAGAATGGAAGACAGGGCTAGAATTAAGGTTGTAAGTGTCTGAGAATTGTTCGATCTTTAACTAAATAAGAAGGGGAAGGAGTAAAATAATCAAAGTAAAACTTGAAATTTTATTGAGGGATGAGTTTATGCAACTTTAAAATTGAGACAATATTAATTTTGGTTACGATATTTTATTAAAAGACCTTATTTGATAAGGTAGTAAAACTGTTACAATATGATATAATTTTAATCTAATATTAAATTTGAAATTAATATTGTAAAATTAGAAACCCGTTTTGTAGACTACAAGCATCCAAATTATACAAATAAAGGTAACAAGAATTTGATTGTTCTTTCCTACAATTTTTATGGCAGTAAACAATTTCAAGAATAATTTTACTCAAAAATAGTACTACCTCACACAGGACGCTATGTTGCACGGATACGGATACACCGATATGCCAATATGCAAATACGGATACAGCGATACGGCAATTTCAAAAATTATAGGATACGGGTACGAGGTATATTTTATAAATAATAAAAATATAGGGTGTAATTTGCAAATATATATAATTCAGGGGTTCATGAATAAAATAATAATAAGAATAGTACAAAAATAGCTATTACGTAGTATAACGAGATTTCAAAGATTAGGCTAAAAAACATAAAGTACTGATATTTCGATTTAAATTCAAATAAAAATTTTTGTTCTCTATTTGCATTTGCATCTAAGTCTTGTTTCAATTAAAGCTCATCAAGCGATGAAATGACAAATTAAAGTATTCTAATATTTTCCATACTCCCGAAATCATCTTTATCAATGTTCCACATCTTGTGGTCGCTTGGGCGGCTACTAAATGTTTGTCATGTCGTGTATGAAATGAGGGTTATAGGGTCAGATACTTTTATTAAATTACGGATACAGACTCAATACGTACACGACGCGTATTGGTGAGTATCAGTATCAGGTACATGTTGGATACACGGATACGACATCGATGTGAAATATCGGTGCAAACAGTACGTATGCCCAAATTTACACCAGTTTTATTGTTATAACAAATTAATACGAAGTAGTCATTAACCAAGTTTTTATATATAAGTTTTTTTTTTAATTTGATAGCACAAATGTGTTTGATCTATTAATGACATGTATCTTGTCTATCCCTTTAATGACGAGGAGATCAGGGGGGAAATGTGGTAATGATCCGTAAGTAATATCACCTACGCATGTTTCTTGTCAAGTGGATGGTTAACAGTTAACAGAAGAAGACAAATAATTCTCCATTCATTTTAGAGTCACTAATAGTAGTAGAGCTGGACAAACATGTTAGGTGGGTTAAAGTGTTAAACATTAGCTTAAATACGACCTACATATTTATTGGCTTGATGTGTATGTAATATACTATAAACTTCAAGTACCAATAAGTGAGAAAAATGTCATTTTTAAAATTTGGAAATATAACTAATATTACGAATTTTGCCAAAAAAAACTAATATTACGAATCAAATTTTATCCATTTCAAGTTTAGTCGATATGGATTTTCAAGGTCATAATTTTCAATTTATAGTTATGAGAGTTGTAATATGTCACACTGAATGTATTTTAACACTCCATGCTGACAAAACTAGCCATTAGCCTGACCCCCTTGCCCCTTGGTTCCACACTTCCACCTGACTGTCAAGTGTCAAGATATGTCAAGACAAAAGTAGCCACAACAGCAGATTGGTGGAGTAATATTCCCCAGGCCAAACCATAAGGAGGCAAAAGCTGTTACCTGAAATCTCAAAGAATCAAGCTAAGAAAGCAGAGATAGAGAGGGGCTTTCATGGATGAAACCAAAATAAGCTCAACCAGTGGTTGGTCATCATCACCAATAACCAACATAGCTGAGGAGCAGCTGTTGACCATATTGCTGTTTTTACCCATAGATTCAATCCTGAGCTTTGCCATGACCTGCAAGAGGTTCAAGTCACTGTCTCTATCTGACCCCCTTTGGGAATCCATCTGCAGGAAGGATTGGGGCCAGTTTTCAGTGGATTCCCTCAAACCCATGCTTCAAACCAAACATGGAATCTCTTGGATAAATCTCTACCGCCAAATCCGCCAGCTGGACTCTCTGAGTTGCCACAGAATCTTGATGAGCAACCAGGAGCTTCCCACTCCCAGAGCTTCTCATTCACTCATTTTTGTATCCAATTGCCTTGTTCTCTTTGGTGGAGGCTCTGAGGGAGGTCTGTTTTCTTTACTCTTTTCCAATTGTCTTCTTTTTCCCATTCTTCGTTCACTGGTTAGACTAGTTAATCGATTGTATTCAATACTTTAGAGTGACTTAGATCATACAGGCGTTACATCTTAAATTAAGTTAGTACAAGCAAATTATGTATATATAGGTGAGGGGAAAAAAAGAGTGCACTAATCTATACAGTAACATAAAGAAAAAGGAGTTCTTGATCAGAAATTCAGGATTCTCCCTTGTTAGTCTAGCATAAGCAGTCCAAACTAATCGTAGTAACAAACATGTAGGCATACTGGCATAGTAACTTAAGGGTATTTGAGGGCTTACATTGGTCGGTTCGATCTTGAAAATGCAAAACCGGAAGTGGAACTAAATAACTCCAGCAAGTTTTGGTTTGGTCGGTTTCTGTCCCATCTTTAAGCCTAAAAGTCTCTAATCCCAAACTGAACTGTGTATGATTTTATTGGTTTTTGTCGTTTCTATTTGCCCGGTTAGATTTTACCATTTTTGTGTTCTGTCCTAAGAGTATCACCATCAAGCACCACAAATTAGACAAGGAAAACCGGAGTATAAGATAAAACTATGGTTTAGATTTCCAATAGTGGCATTCATTTACTCTTACAAGTCCCTACATCTCTTTTGTAAACTTCCTAAATATGTTCTTCTCTTCCGTGTTTGTGGCCCTTAGGTAAGCACCTTGATGACACGTGGATAGCACGTATAGACAGTGACATCAGGGTAAGATTGAAATGGGAAAAAATAGCTGTGGGCAGTCCAAGCGGACGGTTCGGGCATTCATGTGTAGCCATTGAAAATTTCATTGTCCTCTTTGGAGGCATCAACGACCTCGGCGCTCGCCAAAATGATGTTTGGATAGGGCAGGTGTCATTCCAGGATTCACTTAGCGGCAGTGTTACTTTGTCTTGGAGACTACTGGATGTGAGTGAAACTATCTCACCTCCTCCCCGAGGGGCCCACGCAGCTTGTCCCACCGATGACGGAATGATGATGCTTATCCACGGAGGCATTGGAATGTCCGGGATTAGACTAGATGACACTTGGGTTCTTGTCTTCTCAAAAGACCACCATTCTGGGGTATGGCGGGAACTAGTGACTTGCTCTTCTCCTCCGTCTCGGTCCGGTCACACGTTGACCAACATTGGGAAGAACCAAATAATCATGTTTGGAGGGCGAGGGAGAGGGTACGAAGTTCTCAACGATGTGTGGCTGTTGCATGCATTGTCATGTGAAGGTGAATGGCATTGGGTGGAGTTATTATTTGACTTGCAGGGTCCTCAAGGGCTGGTGGATCTACCTCGGGTCGGCCACTCCGCGAACCTCATCGTAGGTCGTAAACTACTCATATACGGAGGTGAAGACTCGCATAGACATAGAAAAAATGACTTTTGGGTGTTGGATATTGGTTCTTCACTGTTAAACATGAATCCTAAGAGATCATATATTTCAAAAGGGTGGACGGAGTTAAGGGGGATAGGCGATAAACCTGAACCTAGGTCATTCCACCGAGCCTGCACGGACTATTCAGGTCAATACTTGTACATAGTTGGCGGAATGGTAGATTGCTTATGTCAGCCTGGTGGATTACCAGGGTTAAGATTTGATGGAGGGCAGTTTCTCCTTGAGATATTGCTTCGAGTATAAAAATCTTAAAATGGTTTTTCCTGTTAGTCCTCGGATTGTTATTTCAGTAATGCAATTAATCCCTACCTAATGTAGTAGTGACACTTCCCATCTTCATCTATGGCGTCAAGATTCAAAGTAGCATCAAGTGTCTTTCACAAAGTCAGACTGTCAGAGGGTTAATAGAAAAAAATGAACATTGTATCATGTGTCTGTCACAACTCACAATAGTAAAAAAAACTAATATTGGAAAAAATAAAAAATTATTACCAAAAACATTATTGACATAATAGTTAGAGGACTACAAGTAACAAAAAACATGCTTACACTTAAAAGGGTTGTTGTGACACAAAATAGAATGTAATGTTTTTACTTCATGCCACATTGTCTCCAATATTTTGATTGGTCCGTCGACTAGGGGTGGAATTCAATCCAGATTTTCGAACCAGACCGGGAGTGACTTGCTTTAAACGAAAAGTCAAACTGAAGGGCATTTCAGTTACTCCAAAATAGCACGGGTCCAGTTCTAGTTCAGATTTTTTGTTTAAAATAGGCTAAAACCCATGCCTGGAAGTCTGGAACTGACTACACATAAGGACCTAGTATATCTAATTGCGGACTTGCGGTTCTAGTCTCTCCCTTTGCTGCCATGGCTTTGTGCCAATAGTTGGAACAATGAAAAACAAATTACTTTGCTGGTATGCACACCCCCACCTTTCTACTTGCAATGGAAAAAAAGAACCTCAGATCAGAAAGCAGTAAGAAAATGCATTGCGCATGGGTAGGAGTAAAACCCCAATGGTATCAAATTTTCACTTGGAACGAAGATCCAACATTTAACCATTCCCCATTACAAAAATCTTTTTGAATCTTCATGCTGTAAGAGCAAATGAAAATAAAATTAAAGGCCTAAGTACTCTCTCTAACTATACACATAACCAGCATATACGTATTCACTATGACATGTTCACAAACCACCGACACTTGCATGACTGCTTGCTATATCACACCGGTATGGCATCAGTTTTGGATGCATCTTCACAACTCAAAACAATGCCATCAAGAGTAGCTGGAAAAATACATTTCACCCAACTGCATCCGGTCGTGAATGGTTCAGGAGGGGGCACAATCATAAGCACATTTTCATTTCTTTGTACCACTCCCATTACACTCACTGTGCTTCCTTCTTTTATATACCTAAACCACACAAAAAAGGTATGCTATCATTAGACTATGTATAGGTTTCTAGTGAGCTTATTAGCTTTAGTTTTAGAGGAATGTTTTCAAATAAGTTCTGTTTGGTTAGGACAACTTATTTGATAAGCTTCATTGGGTAGCTTTTCAAATAAACTTTATCATTATGATTGTATTTTTAAACCGCTTTTTGTTTTAAAATTACCAGCTATTATGTAATATTCACCAAACACTATAAAATCAATTAACTTATCCAACATAGCAACATACACCCTGCATTCCATTTTTGAAATCAGATCATGAGGACCATGAGGTATAACTGAAAAAACCGAAATCTTCACTGATAATATTTAAATTACTTGCATTTTTAGAAACTACACTTAAAGTTCTAATGAGTATGTTAAAAACCTGATACACGTGATAACGCAATAAAAAAATTAGATTGACCGCATGTCGCATGAATAGTAATGACCAACAAACTCGGATAGAGGGATTACATTTTAAACCGTATGTTATAACTTATAAGCAACTCGGTGTTAAAAAAATTATTAGACCATGGCTCAAAAACTTGCACATTTTGCACTTAACAAAGGGGAGAGAGAGAGAGAGAGAGAGAGAGAGAGAGAGAGTACCCTTCCTTCAATCGCATAACACGGTCATCGCTTGAGAGTTTCCTCTCACCCAACCACCTAATAAGTTCAGGCGATAACTCCTTATTCAGTGGGTTCACATCAATAACCACCGACTCCTCCTCTACATAAGGTGTGACCTTTGCTCCATAGCCAGTTTTAACCAATGCTCTCAATCCAGACTGAAAGTCAGAGATGTAAAAGTCGACCACGTGTTTCTGAAAAAAATTAACAGAACAGACAAAAGCACTCTTGTCAACGTATTTAGACCATGGCAATTAGGAAAAGAAAATAATGCAAAGGCAAGAACATATATATAAACTTTAATGCTTAAATGCTTCATGATAAAAAATTAATCATGCATTTAATCCATCAAAAAACTCTGAGGAGTCGTTTAGTTACTGACTTCTGATGATCTAAGCCCCCAGGTAAAATGGCGGTGTGTAGGGTTTGCAGCCTTTGAATCCCATCCCCGGTACTCATACAAGCTTGTTGATGTATAGATACACCTAGGAACCTTCTGGAAGGATGATTCTAGAGGGACATTTCCGCAGGTCACCACCTTCACAATATAATAACACAAACATTAAATATAAAATCAAAGAAAAATGATTACCGCCAAGGTAATTTCAGTGTGAGCAAGTATACTTTCTACAAAAAGAAAGAATTTAATTACTTTTTCTCACAAATGTCCATTTTACCCTTACCCCAGAAACCTTGACATATTGCCCGTTTTTTGCAGTTCTTAATTCAGCATCTGGATATCTACCAATGAAACCAATTATAGCTCTTCTTCCCCAAAAAGAGTTCCATATAAACAGTGCAGAAACAATCCCAAAAAGAACTATTACGACAATCAAAAGTATGGGGTTGTTGACGGCTCCAAGAATGAACCCACCAGCAATGAAGCCCATGATGAATAGCAAAACCATTGCCCAAAAGATAGGCTTTGGGAAGTTCCCTCTGAAGGAGAATCTGTCATCTAGAAGAAGAGTGGTCACAGCATGAGAAGGACCATTCACCATTTTCATGGATCCCGTCATAGAGTCCAATTGACCAGAGACCTTTCTTGGTGCACCATACGAATTGAGTGGTCCAGATGAGATGGGCCCAGAAGTAATAAGGCCCGTGGTAGGGAGTACAGGTGGTTGAGGGCCTGAGTTTTGACGGCCTGATATAGGCTCCCCATGCTTATTGAGAGGACCAGAATTGGATTTCTTCAAAGAGGATGAACCGGTCGCCATTGTCGATGAAATGGGGCCAGAATGTGAAACAAATGATCCTGTTCTTGGGCCAGTATTGGTTATAGGCCCTGATTTTCTTGACTTGGAGCCATCACCAGTGATATCAAACATTTTTCCAAGTTCACCCGACTTCTTGATATCACCACCAGTATATGGCATTGCAACAGAACTCATTGTTGGTGCCTTTTCTTTGGGCTGCTCAGGCCGGCCCGATACATAGAGGCCATTGCTGAGCTGGTGAGATGGAAATCTTGAGCCCATTGAGCTAGCTATAATATGAAGTAGCACCAGTGTGTAAATTCAGAATGTTAGAAAGAAAATAATTGCATTCGATGACCATACATGCCAATACGACTGATTATCCAACCAGCAATGATCAAAAGAAAGAGATTCTGGACACATTCACATAGTGAAGAGATTTGAATGGAGTCTGGATCTAATATACGGTTTTGCTAACCTTAATGGGGGGAAAACAATTTTTTGAGGAACTAGTGTGAGATATGGGAAAGCGACAATCAACTTTGCACTAATAGGAATATCTGATCTAGCCCCTTGACTGTATACTAATACTCAATTTGGTCATCAAATTGAGTTTCGGCGTCTGTGCTGTCCTCGAGACTAATTGAGTCCAGCATATTGCTCTGTATTTAAGAAGGGCATTTTCGTGTGCTGAGGACTATAAGGGAAAAAATGACATAGTTGGGGGCCATACACGGTCCTAAATTGGTATAAATTTAGTTAGTGGATAAAAACACCATTACAACCAAATATGTATAGACTAAGTCGTGTAAAATATCGCAGTCGATGACCAAAATGAGTCCAATAAAAATATAGGACCAAATTGAGTAATACGTAGTAGAATGTAGTCAGGACTAAATTGATTTTTAACTCTTACGTTATTATTGAGATGATCTTACTAACTTCTGAATGCAGCTCCTAAGACTTATTCTTAAGATAAACCCCGGTTAGGGGATGATCACAGAATGTGCAACAGCTTCAGGACTTGCAAATCAAGACTGGCTAAAGGGCATATTAAAAAACATAACACTGAGCATTTTAAAACAGAAATTGACATTTACAGTCATTTTGAGGCTAACATACAACGATAAGTAAAAGGAGGATCAAACATTTATGTATCTCTGTTATTATAATGTTTAAGAATCAAAGTAACGACACTATCATGCTAATAGTCAATACCTATTGTTCTTTTTCATCAACTGTAAACCAAACACTAGACTGGAATTTGAATTACCATTAACTATATTTCCTCCAACCAAACAATGCAAATTTGAATAAGGAGTAGATTGTTCCTTCTTTATTATTATTCACATAGGAATTTAAATTTCATTCTCGGGGTTTATTTTTCTCTTTGAGAGTGGCTTTGAAATCCTTGGCTATTTGAATTGAGATATAAACAGAGAAGAATGTATCAATCAACTTTGACTTTGCAGGTTTTAAAACTAAAATCCATTTGGGTTAGAATGCAACATAAACAGTTCTGTGTAATATTTTAGATCAGAAAAAACAAATGACAGCTGAAGCAAAACAAAATGACAAACAAAGAAATATAGAAGAAAATCTCTTATCAGCCAAAAAAAAAGTGAAAATGAGAAACCGGGAATTTGTTTAATTTAAAAAAACTACACCCCACATATTGGACTTGGGAGATCACCAAGACTCAGTTCATCAAATGGGTCAGTTAAAAAAAAACCATCAGTCACGTCTTGTTCCAGATATCCATTCAACTCAAAAGATTGACTTTTACTGTTGAAAAGGTGCCGTTCGGTCCCAAAAAAAGAACTTCCTCAATTCAACACTACTATGAGTCAAATCAAGTTGCCAAAAAGTAGCACTCAGAGCAAAACAGAAAATCACATTGACGAAACGAATGGCTGAAATGAAAATGGGAATTAGTGGAAAAGCGAAGATCTGGATTACCAATCATACCTGAGATGCGAAAGTAGCAGATAAAAAAAATTAGTGACGAGGCACCATTTTCAAGTATAGAGAACCGTTTATTAACAGCAGTGATAGGACCAGTCGCTGAAATTGTAGTACGGCGCCTCCGCCA